CAAACTCTTCAGCTTTTTCAGGTCCACTAACACTAATGTTTTTATATATAGGGTTGTTCGGAAAGTCATTTCCTTTTTTTTTGTGGAAATGAAAGACAGTTTTCGTATAATAAACAAATACTTTATTAAATTATATATTGACCGTTCTGGTCCAACACCTTTTGCCATCTTTCTGGTAGTAGCATAATTCCACGCTCATAAAATTTTTGGTCTTTGCTGGCAAAAAACTGATCGAGGAGGTTTTTGACCTCCTCATTTGAGGTGAAGGTTTTACCGTCTAAAAAATTTTGGAGTGACCGGAACAAATAATAATCCGATGGTGCCAGGTCTGGAGAATATGGTGGGTGTAGCATTGTATCCCATTCAAGCTGTAAAAGCTTTTGGCGAGTGACCAAACTTGTGTGAGGTCTCGCGTTGTCTTGGTGAAACACTACACCTTTCCTGTTGATTAGTTCTGACCTTTTCTGTTGAAGTGCATCATTCAGTTTGTCCAGCTGATGACAGTAGACTTCCGAATTAATCGTTGTGTTATCCGGTAAAAGCTAAAAAAAAACGATTCCTTTAAAATCCCACCAAACAGACAGCATCACCTTTTTTTGGTGAATATCGGCTTTGGAAATGGTTTGAGCCGGTTCATCTTTTTTGCTCCATGACCTCTTGCGTTTGACGTTGTTGTATACAACCCATTTTTCGTCCCCAGTGATGATGCGCTTCAAAAACGGATCATTTTCGTGACGTTTGAGAAGCGAATCGCAGACGTCAATGCGGCGACACAGATTTCTCTCTGTGAGAACATGGGGAACCCATACATCGAGCTTCGAGGATAATCCCAGGCCTTTCAAGTGGTCATAAACTGTTGAATTTGATAAATTTAACCTCAATCCGATCTCACGTGTTGTTATTCGCCGGTTCACATCAACTAATGCCTTTATCGCGTCTTTATCAGCTTCAACCGGCCTTCCCGAACGTGGTGCATCTTCGACATCAAAATTGCCGGATCGAAATTTAGCGAACCAGTTCTGGCACTGGCGTACTGTCAACACACCTTCTCCATACACATCAGTCAATTTCTTTCTGGCTTGAACAGCATTTTTACCCTTTCTGTAGTAAAACAGTAAGATATGTCGAAAATGCTGCTTATCGCTCTCCATATTTAAAAGGGCACCAACCAAAAACTACTGCGTAGAATTAGTTGGAATTTTTCACACACAAGCCTTGCTTATGAGCTCTCAAAGCATAAAATAATTATACGGCTTAAATGTGAAGTTGGGTGCAAAAGAATACAATTAAATCCTCTGTCGGGAAAAAACGAAATGACTTTCTGAACAACCCTATATTTCTACACTGTCTAAACCATGCAAACAAGAATTTTTCTAAATTAGGAAATTCAGCAATTCTTCATCTCTTACCTAGAAGACTTTCTCCCGATTCAAACCACTTTCCACGGCTTACTGAGGTGTGATGTCCAAATTATTCGTTTAAGTTAGAGAGGGTTTTTATTGTAACTAATAGAGGTTTTGGACTCCGAGGGGAAGGGAACACAAAATTTTATGAATTTATAGAGGTTATTACGTTATCGAAGTTTAAGTTATCAAGGTTCTACTGTATTTATAAAAATCATTGTTTCGATATTCGATTCATTGGGCATTTTCTTGTCACAAACAATAAAGAGCATCGCATTTTGTCTTTCGTTGGCCTTATGTGTTGAATTTTCGAAAATCGTCTCCTGGTGGATCCTCACATCGTAAAAAGATTCGCTTTTCTAGTCTCGGAAGTTTCGGAAAATAAAGCACCTTCAGCGTTAACTATAGATTTTCTTATAAAAATATCAACATTTATGTGACACACCCTGTATATATAACGTCGCGTTTAAGAGTTTTCGGTCGTATTTTCATTTATGATAGAAAGAAAGGATTTTAAAGAGCAAGGGCAGAAATGAATACGTTTATGCAGAATTCATTGGCAGAATGGCCGCCAGCCGACACAGCCGTCTCCGTTATTGTTATCACCGCAACCACCGCCGCCTGAAACAAATCAATGATGCGGAAAATCAATAATCAAATAGTGGAATTGTCGAACGGGAAAACGCCACGATCTCGCTGTCGCCGCAACCTTCGTTCTAGGTCGTGATCTGTTTGAATCCGCCGAGATCTACAAAGTGACCCCACACAAGCACTTCAGAATATCCACAAAAATCTGTCTCAAAAATGAGTTAACCATAACAAACGAAATGAATATTTCAATTCAAAAGGAATCTTGTGTAGACAGTAATGGAAACAAGGTGATTAATATTACTATGTTATTACATAATTAAGACTTAAAGCTGCGACAATTTTTTATTGTTAAAGACGTAAAGGAAGTTTACACTCTAACAACGGTGACGATATGTCGAAAGAATATTTTTTGTCGTAAAATTGTAGTTTGCTTGACGTTTAACAACCAGCCGAGAAGTAAGACATCGCCATAGGGCACTATCAGTTCCTGTGAGTTTAATAAAGAAAGTTCTTCATTCGGGTGAGCTAATAAAACCATCTCCTGGGGCAAACTCGAGCTGAAATAGTTCGGAAGAAGTTCATTACATCACTTTTGTTGGATTTAAAGACTACCCCTCATAAGTATTCGACGATGTACCTGTCTGAGATACACGTTTTCTTTAGAACATCCACCCTGACACGTTATTAAGTCTTTTACCCCGTTATTATTACAAAATCTCAAATAAATTGGACTCGAAGTTGTCAGAAAAACTTTGGAGAAGCAATTTAATTCTTCCATATAAACTCTGGGGGCAGATCCATTTAAAAAACCCTTTAAAAAACTCAGAAAAAGTAGCGTTAGAGCTCTAAAGTTTTAGGAAAGAAAAGGATTTTCTAATTCTATTTTTGAAGATATGAAAACTCATAGTAAACCACTTTCAAAACATACCGAATGATGAGATAGGAGCTAAATTGTATTAAATCTTTAATTAATATTTAATTCATCATCAACCACTTCTTCTAATTTTTCGTCTCCTATCTTTATATTCGCTCTTTCCCTACTTTTTCTTCCCTTGCATACCAGTATTTTAGTTTTACTTTTATTTAATTACATTACGATATTTAAACTTGTTCGATGAAGTTTATCACGTTATAATTTTTAACTTAAAGCGATTTGTTATTGGTAGCCGCAGTGTTTCAATTAATACTGTTGTCTCGGTGCATAACAATTAACTGATTTAATTAAACTGCAATTATGCAATTATTCGAGGTCATTATTCTTCGGATAAGATGGGTATGATAATCCCTATCTTGTCTTCATAAATAAAACATAATGCAAAGCAGATGAACCTGCGAGGGTTATCTATACCGATAATTTATAAGTACATAGATTAAATCAACGAAAATTTTACTCTGCTCATACACCGATTGTCCTTTAATTCTTTTCTCTCCATTTAAAGCCTACTTCAATTATCCTTGTAGCTTAGTACATACGGTACAATGCTATTTATAAATTCTTCCCTCTACAGCGCCTTGTAATCATCTACGATTTCGCTAATGTTAACGCTTCCTGTCTTCTGTCGTTTTGAAGCTCTGTCTACAGTAATTATAATAAATCTCACGCGTGTTGTTTAAGCTAAAAGGTTTGGTAGATAGTTAGCAAATATATGCGTACATTTACAATGTTTTAATGTCTACTACATCTAAAGATTAAAATTTTCCTTATAACAAGCAAAAATTATCCACCCAGGTTTGCATGTATGCTACATTTTTCACAAAGGGTTGAAATGAATTCTTTTTGACTTACATATTTCATTCATGGCATACATACTTGACTAAAGCTCACCGCAGTATGTCATCTGTCACTCATAGACGAGAGACCGCAGTATTGATGCTTCCTAACGCATCAAGTCATTTGTACGAAGTAGATTACATGCGATTTATAAACGGCTCGAAAGGGACTAATTTAAGACCAGCCGCATGTTAGCTGTCATTGAGACCAGAGTACTTATTACCTGTGACTCATAGAGGAGAGACAAGGATATTGATGGATCATAACGCTCCAAAATGCCAAAAAATATATCGTTTTTATGCGACAAGTGGTATGGATTTTCCATTCGACTCGAACGTACTCACTTATGACTCGCCGCGCTGTAAACGCGCTTACTTGTCAATCAGAGTAGAGACCACTGTGTTGATGATTCATAACGCACTAAGAGGGCCAAACAAAATCGTTTTTGCGCCACTGGTGACATGGGTTTTACATTCGAGTGGTATGTACTCACTTAAGACTCGCCGCACTGTAAACGCTCTTACCTGTCAATCAAAGACGAGAGACTTGATGCTTCATAACGCACCAAGAGGGCCAAAAAGAATTGTTTTAGCCCCACAGGAGACATGGGTTTTGCATTTCAGTTTTTACGTACTCATTTATTAGGACTCGCTATTTGTTTGTTACCTGTGACTCATAGAGGAGAGGCGAGGGTATTGATGCATCATAACGCTCCAAAATGCCAAAAAAATCGTTTTTGCAAGACAAATGGTATGGGGTGTCCATTGACCTCGTACGTACTCACTTAAGACTCGCCGCGCTATAAACGCTCTTATCAGCCAATCAAAGAGAAGAGACCAGGGTGTTGATGCTTCATAACGCACCAAGAGGGCTAAACAAAATCGTTTTTGCGCCACAGATGACATGTGCTTTGCATTCGGTTCGTACGTACTCATTTAAGACTCGCCGCGCTTTAAATGCGTGTTATTTGTCAATCAAAGAAAAGATGTGAGTGTTGATGCTTCATAACGCACAAAGAAGGCTAAATAAAGTCATTCTTACGCAACAGGTGACTTGTCCTTAGTACTCGGCTCGTACGTACTCATTTAAGACTCGCCGCACTACAGTCGCGGTACCATAAAAAAGGCGATTGTAAATTGTTTTTCGTATCCAGTATGAAGCAGTTTGTTGCTGAGAAGATATCGTCCGATTTTTGCAGTTTTTTTTTTGGTTAATTTTGACTTTTTTTGTTTCAGGTGAAAAGCCGTACAAGTGTTCGTGGGAGGGTTGCGAGTGGCGGTTCGCGCGTTCCGACGAATTAACCCGTCACTATCGTAAACACACGGGCGCGAAACCGTTCAAATGCCGCCACTGCGACCGCTGCTTCAGCCGCTCAGATCACCTGGCCTTGCACATGAAACGTCACGCCTAGGTCTAGTAGGCGACCGACGACGCCGACGACGCTGCCGCCGCCACACTGCAACCGCCGACGCCGTGGTCGTCGCATCACTGCCAGTTACCGCTAAACATGTAAATAATAATTATTATTATCACAACAACATTAATACAATCATTACGGTCTAGTCAATTTACCATCGAAAAAACATGTCACAATTTGCGTTAGGCATGCAGAAATTGATTAAAGTGCGACTTTTTTGTGAAAATAGTTAATTTTTCTAGCTTTAAACGTCCTATATTCTTACAATAATTTGCTATTACTAATAAATATTTCAGTTTGTTAATTTTAAATGCGAATCATACACGTAGGGAACGTTACCCAAAAATGGTGCCGACTGGACCGTGATAGATTGAAATGTTACATTGTAAGTAAGAGAGAGAAAGTGAGAGAGAGAGAGAGAGAGAGAGAGAGGTGTAGTCAGGTTTAGATGCAGCCGTTGTTGTTGCGGGTGGTAGAGGGTGACGTGCGTGACAATTCTCGTTACACAAACCGCCCCCGTCACACCGAACCCCATTCCCTCGCACCTTGATACAATTCCCTATTATTGTTGGAACGCACGTCGCCCTAATCCACCCCCTTCGCTCGAAGCACCGATGAATAGAGGGAACGATTCCTCAGTGATGATACTCCTGTGATCAACTCAGCATCGCCCACATATGTATATGTACCACACTTAATTGGATGTATGTATGTAGGCCAAACTACAGCCCGCTCCCTGAATAGATTTATGATTACACTTGCAATCTTACGTGGATTTCTTTTTATATCATTTGATACTTTAGAAGGGCCCGGGTAATAAATTATTGCATCGAGAAGGCAGACGTTGAAACAGTCAAAATTAATAGATCAGATATACTGAAGAATATAATATACTTCGTCATTTTATTAATGGAATAATTAGTTTCGATAGTAGAATGTGTAGGTATTGAGTGTAGGAAATTTAAATTGTAAGTAAATGGATTTAAATAAATTTTTGGATAGCGACGGGAAGATGTGATAAAAAGGCTAGGAACTTTCATAGGAGAAATATTAAAAATTGTTACATTTTCTTTACATTGATTAACATATCACTTCTTAAAACTAAAAAGTCCGAGTAATTTATAAATATTAAAAACGTGCTAAATAAGTAGTACTTACAGCTAAACTGCTTTAATATTGTTATTAAAACTAAAAGAGATATATAAAATTAAATATTTTTAATAATAAAGTCAACTAATAATGTTAAGCTTAAGCTTCTTTAAGTTAATTGATTTCATATATGCCTAGTTCACAAATAAACGTAGATAAATAAATAATTACTGCTAGAAATTGCTCGTCAGTAAGTACCTAATTAAAAAAGAGTTCGTTAATTGTGTCATTTGTTCAGGGAGAGGGAGTTAGAGCATTTATAATAACTTTTACAACAATTTTGTACATTTTCATGCCCCTCTGGGTTAGATGTGAGATGCGGTCGGTAAACGCGTTTTAACTAACGGAGGGGGGCCGTGAAACCGGGTACCCTAGCGATTAAGTAACAACTAATTAATAAGTAAATAATAAGTAACTAATAGTTTGTACGAATGTGTCAAAGTATTAAATATGAAGACTGTGCAGGCAAACGCCCTTTTAATAGACTAAATGTTGTACTATTTGTATAAAGTAATCAAAAAAGCAACGTAGTAGTTCGATCAAAAAATAAAAAAAAACGCAAAACAAAACATTATAAAACTGATAAGAAAAAAGTATTGTATTACATAATTATTATGTAATTATATTTTTGAAAAAGTGACCTTGGATATCTACTAAAACAAACCAACTTTTCAAAATAAATAAATGATAAATTAAATGCGACGACGTCACATGTTCGCATACATGTTGCATTTCCGATGCGGCTTCCATAGGCAGAAAATGTCAGGCACTTGATTGTGATGCATTAGAACTATTCGCATAGGCCGGACAGAAACGATACATCACGTAGGCCCTGCAAACGCAGATAACCGCGCGGCAACCTCTGCTCGTTCGTTTCTGTTCGCCCAGTGTGAAAAGCTCTTAAATTCTATGACGCGTGCCGCAATCTGCCTGTCCAGCCACACTTCTGACGCATTCCTTTTCTAAACGTTTATTCGTTCTGTATTTCCACTTCTACCTTTTGCATTGAAGCGTGAATGTTGTTGTATACAGTGCGAGTAAAAAAATAAAACAAAACAAAAAACGGTATCTACACACATAGATATTTTTAATGTTTGTAGCATTTTGTATAGCTGCATGCTTCTTTGATTCTTATAATTACTACTAATGTTTAGTAAGTAAGGTATATTGCGAGAAATCGTATTTATACTAGGACGATTTTTGGTTTTCTTTACTTTTACTTTACGGACGAAATCGAGCGCACTTTTGTTTAATAATATCTAATATTATTCGCATTTGCAAGATGAAAAATAGTTTTGCTTGCTACGTATTTGTAGGTTTTTGCATTTTTATACACACATACAAAATATACATTCGTACGTATTACTCTGAAAGTACAAAATTGTAACTTACAACGACCTGTTTACCCCAAAACGATAATATGAATATAAACGGTAAGTTTTTACTGTGTGCTCTTGGTTTCGTCACTGTTTTCTCTTTCTTTAATAACATCTGCTACTTTTGTGTAAATTAAAAACGAAAACGATGAATTAATTATCTATTTTATTATTTTTATTTGTACCGCAATGTGATAAGTTTGTACATTGTAAAATAAACGATTTTTTTTTATTGTAAGAAACCGATTTTGTTGAGAGAATTTATCAGACTTATTTGTATTGTTTTGTTTTAAAATATTTTATTTGTCTAACGATACGATTTATTATTATTATTATTATTAATATTATTTACGTTTCATTATTATATTTAGCTGAAATAATTTATAGCAATAATTACCGATTATTATTTCTACTTGTTGCAATATAGGTACATACATACATTTTCGTCGCATTATATCTTAGTTATATATATTTGTAAGTGTTGTGTGTTTTGTAAAGAACCCCGTGTGAGAAAAAATGAATGATATTTTGGAAAGAGAAAGAGGTAAGAGAGAGAGTGAAAGTTAAATGGTAGAAAATAATGAAAGAGAGAGACAGAATACATGCGCGCGCATTCGCTCCTTGTTCTTCCTTAGTGTAGGTGTCAGAGTAATATATTCATTAACATTAACGACTTTTATACATGATAGAAGCGAGTACTTACAAGGTCATGATTTTGATCGATAGGTTTTGCTTCTGTCTTGCTTTCGAACGACCGATTGGATTCAGAAAGCTGCAGCATACGCAAGTTTAAAGTTTGAATTTTGTTTCGAGAGACGCTTTACCGATAGAATTGTCGAACATACGACGTAACTCTGCGGCCATGTTGTCTGCCGTTACTCTGCAAGGCGCGAAAAATTAAAAAAGTCCAAAAGGTGCCTGAATATGCCTATATTGATATCAGCATAAGAACGTAGAAGGTGCAGACTTTTGGTCTCAAAACTTTCAACTCATTTCGGAAATCTAATAAAAAATAGCGCCTAAAGTTGATATTTCAATTAAAACTTTTTCTCACTGCTTTAGGCCAGTATGTAGTCACAGTTCAATCTTCTGATCACAAGTGAACGTTCGGCCAGTATTTGTGAGCGTTTTAGTGTATTTTTCAATTTTCTTTTGACGACAGAAAGGTAATTTTGGAATTGGATGACCTCGTCACTTTTCCACTTTAATCAGACGTCAGTTACAGCTTGATATCCAGCCGGTCAATCTGTTAAGCTCTAAAGGTACGCTCTGTGGTCCCTGCTCTTAAACGTGTCATTATTTCATGTTTCTGTCGTCTTCGCCTACTTGAATTAAATCGCCGGTTTAATTAGCCACTAGGAAATTGAATGTCGTCCTTTTAAGTGATGGTTTTCACGGAAAATTAAACTCGTGGTTTGGCGCAAGTTGTTAATTATTGTCATTTTTGTTTTACTATTTTTTATTAAGAGGAAAAAATTTCGTACGCTTCACTCGCCGGCTAGGCCTGAGCGAATAAAATTTAACATTTGTAAAAGCTTCTAGCTTCCCTACGTGAATAAAAGATGGCATTTAATATATAAAAAAAAAAATGAGGTTAAGTATTACAAATACTTTTTCTTTCGATATTAACTTACTAAAGCGTCTAAACAATTGTCGTTCTGCACTTAAGGAAGCTACATGCTGCGGAAAAAGAAGATTAAGAAAAGTTTACAATAAAGCCTATTGTTTCCGATGTTTCTAATTAAAATTTATTAGTCGATAACGATTCTTGAATGTAGATATTTAAATTGAATTCAACTTACGACCTAAGTGTATATGTAAATACTAAATTCCAACGGTTTCTGATAACAACATCATCTTAAAAACTATTTGATAAACTAGAAAGAAGTTGTGTTAAGTATATTTTGTAATTTTCATAAGAATGGTGATAAAAAATTTTTGT